CTCAATTTTCTCTTTCTTTTTATAGCCATTAAGAGCTGGCAAGCATATATCCTTTGCTTCATTGGCAAAATTCAATTACATATTCACAATTTCTTGAATCATTTACATTACATGTCTCAAAACTAAGTGCAAAATGATAAAAGAAGATGAACAGCAAACTAGAGTGGTTTTTTAATTTTCAACGACAACAAAGAAAGTAGGGGAAAATATCAGACTTTATAACGAGATCAGAGAAAGTGAGTATATCATGTATATATCTTTAAAAACGTACACTTTAGAATATGGTAGTTTAGATAAAAAAAATTTATTTGTTGCATCAAATAAACAGGCCAACACAACCCAATAAAAGATAATATTTTTCTCTTTCTTTTAATCCTTTTTCATGTACCTCAAGAATTTAAATTTTAAATTTTAAAGCACTTAAAAATTAAAAGCATTCAGTTAGAGGCTAAAATAAAAGTTTTACTGAAACATGTTTATTTTACACCAATTGAATTTTGTGGTGATAGAATCCAATGAAATTGACAATAACAATCATAAATTTCAATAATATATATTTTATATTATAAAAAAATATTTTTATTTTTTTGATACATCTGATTATAAGTTATGTAAGAAAAGATAATCATTTCCTATTCCCAAGTACCTCTTCATCCAACTCAAAACTCAAACTTGAAATCTCTAATTAAGAATCTTAAATTTTTAACTATTAAAACACCCCATTGAGATTATAAAAACTATTTTTATAGCAACAGTAAAGATATTAAAAAAAAAAAGGACCTTAGCCCCAATATACAGTCTAGTGCTCTGCCCACATGTTTAAACAAAACATCATAAGCCCAAGTAAGGCGTTAATATTCGATCTAATTGAATTGATCTAATTTAAACTAACTTAATTTAATAAATAATTAAATTAATTTGAATTATAAAATTTTAAAACTGATATAATTAGTTTGGTTTATAATTTTATCTTTAAATCATTTGACCTGTTTTATTACAAGATAATTTAATTAAATAATATAATATATTTTTTTAGTATTTTAAACTCTTTGTTTTATCTTACAAGATAATAATTTTATTAACTTAATTAAAAAATAAAAATAAAACATTCCCATATTCCCTAACTTATTTTTTCTTCTTAATCATACATTGTAACCCTAATTTTAAATTTCTAATTTATTTGTAACTTTATTCCTTAGCACTAATTTGTGACTTTACTTTTATAATACTAATTTTCTAATTTGTTTTTAAAATGATATTCTAATTCTCTTAGCTAAATTTTAAAGAAGTATTTTTCTAAAAGTCTTAAAATTACAAAATAAAATTAGTTTTGATATTCTATTACTTTTGATAATTGGTTGAGGAGTTTTAAATCTTGATTATGAATACTTCTAATCAATTCTAATGATATTTATATTAAATTTTATTTACTTTTAACATGGTTTGAAAGATAGGATTAAATCATTGGTGCATTAAGAAAACAAAAAAAAAAAAAACTAGTTTTAACCTTTAAAAATGATTTGTACTGTCATTGAAACTTGAAGTCATATTTTATTATTCTAAGTACCTCTAGTGATGTAGTCAAAAAAATTTTTAGATCTTTTCCGTCTTTACAATTATAAAAGAGTATACAATTTTATCTATAGTTTATGTCTTTTATTATATTTCTATTAATTTAAAAATTATTGTGTTTTATAGTTATATTTTTTACTTGATGGTAAAGTCTTTTATATTATCTCATATATTTAATAATGCTAAAAACTAATTAATCTAACTAAACCATACCAATTTAATTTAAATTAAATTGATTTGACTATTATATAAGGAAAAAAAATTCAAGATGTCCTAAAATTAAAAGTTTCAGGACATCCAATAATAACTACACAATATATAAGACATAATATGGACTCTCATTTTATTAAATTAATTATATAATTATTATTGGACATATTAATCATTTTAATGTTATAACGTCCTATATTTTCCTTTTTCTTTATGTAATAATTAATTAATTTAATTTAAAAATTTTACTAATTAATTAAGTTAATTTAATTTAAAAAGTATTAAAATTGGAATCCACATTCCCAACCTACCTAAAGTTGAGCATCGGGTACGGATTTACATGTAGATACTTGACTGTTTTGGGTAGGTATTTTACTTATACATGTGAAGAGATAATTAAATATTAGGTATGAAAAATGCAAACATGCTAAGTATTGAGTAAGTATTCTGCATAAACTTGTATACTTGACTTGTATATTTTACCCGTATATCTAATTTATATTTTAATTTTATGTACTTAATTTGTAATATAATGTTATAAAATTCAAATGTTTATGTTTTTTCTTTCATCTTTTATGACAGAAGATTCAATAAAAAAAAATTATGTGGATTTTTGTTTGTATTTCTTTTGTTATTGTACATATAAATTTGTACATGTATGAATATATATTTTAACGTATAAAAACTTATATTATATGTATAAATTTATAGTTGTATATTAATTTATATATTTTTAGTGTAAAATTTAACAAATATATAAATATATTTAACGGTATATCTATATTTAACAAGTTAAATAAGGTATAAATTTTTAATACAAAAAAATACTTAATATTAAAATCTTATATTTATCACTGTTTAAATCAAATAGAAGTATGACCAAATACTCGGTAGTTACCCCTAGACCTATCCTACCCAACTCATCTAGAATGGACCCAACTAATCCTTTGACTTTAACCGGTCTCCATTGAGTGGGGCTGACAGCGGACCCTACTCCTACTACGTCAGTCGTCGCAAACGTCAAGATCAGAGCCACATAGATCCAGAGTATTCCATCTAGATGCAGGTCCTTGGAGACGACCCTACTTAATTCTCCAACGTTCCAAACCATTCTAGAAACCATCAGGAAAAGAATATGGCCGAACCTCCTGGAAACCTCCTTCTCTTCCCTCTTTTCCTCCAGAAGCTTCCACCCAACCCCTATAAAAATGGAAACTTCGTTCTTTGGTACACAAAGCCAGTGTGAAAATACCAGGTAAACCAGAAAAAAAAAAAAAAAAAAGATCATTTCGAGAATTCCAGCAGCAAAGAAGGCAAAAATGGATCTAAAGATCATGGGTTTGGACGCGCCACTCCTCCACACCATCCAGCACATGATGGACCTGGCGGAGGACCCCGAGAAGTCCATTAATGGACCATCCCGCACCTACGTGCGGGACGCCAAGGCCATGGCATCAACTCCGGCTGATGTGATGGAGAACCCCAATTCCTACGTGTTCATCGTAGACATGCCGGGGCTCAAGTCCGGGGACATCAAAGTTCAGGTGGAGGATGACAATGTGTTGTTGATCAGCGGAGAGCGGAAGCGGGAGGAAGAGAAAGAAGGTGCCAAGTATGTGAGGATGGAAAGGAGGGTCGGCAAGCTTATGAGGAAATTTGTGCTGCCTGAGAATGCAAACACGGATAAGATCTCCGCGGTGTGCCAAGATGGAGTACTGACTGTGACCGTGGAGAAGCTGCCGCCACCGGAGCCAAAGAAGCCCAAGACCATTGAGGTTAAGATTGCTTGAATGAGGAGCTTATGCGTTTCAGGTAATGGAATTAGTAAATATGAGTGCGTGGGTTTGAGTGAGTGTGCTAGTGCTAGTGCTACGTCTAGTGTTTTTTCATATTCCGAATGTGGCTAATGTTCATGTTTTGTGTTGTATTTTGAGCAATGGGCGTGTACTGTGTATCAAAGATGTTATCAATGCGACTATACATTCAGAGTATTTCCTCTGTGTTTTCTCTCATTTGCTCTGTTCTATTGTATTTGTTCACTGCAAAATCCAATGCCTTAACAATCGAGGAATTTAAGTAAGCCCAAATAAATGATGGAAAAACCCTAGATTCAATGAAGGTCCAAACTTTCAATCACATTTTCTGTTGGTAGATTTTTCTATGATCCTCAACGCTGGACTTGGTTTAAATGTATTCTAAATGCTCCACTGAACAGAATTGGTAGTAGTGCACCTTTTCTTTTATTTTTGTTTGGGTGCCTGTTGCTTTGGGTGTGCGCTTCAGTGGTGGAAGCTCGAGGGTTTCTGATGGCTCTTGTAGTTGTCTCAAACGGAGGGCCGCGCTTGATAAACAGAGCAATGAAAAAGCCTTCCTTGTCTTCCACTGGGTCTGTCCGGAGTAGATGTAGATGTTCAGCTGCAAGAATACAGACGGGGATTAACTGGTCATGCCAATTAACCAACTTTGAAAAACCATGTGGTAAAACATTATCAATTTTGATGGTGGGAATCATGGCAGATGAATGCTTACAGCCTTCAAACACTGGAAGGCCTCGAGTTCGCCACTTTGGAAAAGGGGTTGCGAGAAGAAAGCCATTGGATGCAGCGAGTGGTAAAATGGACTTTATAACATCTTCATTTTCAATTTGGTGGATGGAACAAGTGCTGTAAACAATTCTCTCCACAGCTGGGACTGGATCACAAGATTAATCAAGATCAAATGGAATTGCACATCATGAATTTTTGCAAGCCAGACTGAGTTAACTGGGGGAAATGAAATTTACAAGATAGTGCGTGTGCAAGAGCTTTCTTTTGAAAGGTTGCAAGCTTGTTAAGTCTCTCTGTTTCGGTGGTGTCAGAAGCTGGACCTACAAAATGGAAGATATAGTGAACATTTTAAAGACCATAAACATGAATATTGTGGAAATGATTTTAATTACCTACTGATAGAAGACTGGAAGTTACCTGCACCATAAGAGGGGAGCAAATGATCCAATCTCTCAGCAACAGTACCAGAACCAGAGCAGGAAGGATCCAGAAGAATAGCACGGACCTGCGATAGTTTCCTTGCTTGAGAGAATAGGACAGGTAGAATGTATTAACAGCTTAAATGCAATCTAAAGGATAAATTAAAATGGGAAGCTCAGCTTATTATACTATGGTATTAGCTGCTAAGTCTATGAATAGAATGCCAAAAACCATCAGAAAGCATTAAGAAGTTACAGATCTGCAATAACAAAGCAGCTATATTCACATATGCAGCAGTCATACTGAGTGGACATGCTAACCTTGGAGAACAAGGGATCTTTTGGATCCAAGCTTAAAAAATCCCCAGGAAGAACTTGTACATCTGGAATCTCAGTTAAGTGTATTACACAACAAACTGTATTCAGAGAGGTTAGGAGAAAATGGCAATCACTAGAAGAGGATAATAATGCTCTCCTTCTAATGCTCTGTAACATTTGCAGCATTTCCCAAATGAAAAAAAAAAGAAAAAAAGAATAACAAGATTGAAAGTTGTTCCACAATTATAAGCAAATTGCAGGTAATCAATAATATTTTAAAACTGATAACAGTGAGTTGAATCCGAAAAAATCAATATCTTTAAGGATACTTGGTGCGCCAGATAGTCTGATAGTGTCTTCTAATCTTTTTATCCTATCCTTATTCAGCTCACATGCTATAATCTTTCCCTTCCCTTTCATAAGAGCAGCAAGATGGGCAGTTTTGTTTCCTGGAGCTGCACATGCATCAAGAACCTTCACAAAAAATTGGAATTAAACAAACTATAAACAGTTACAAAGCATACAACTCAAGAAGAAACCTTGTGAATTTGCACCACCACCAAATTAAAGGACATTGTTTTTGTAGGCACAAATATTTAAATTATAGATGATGATACTAAAGAATGAGGAGTGCTTATTTCTGCAAGCAGGAGTGTGAATGACAGGAAATAAGAATATTTAAAAAACAAAAGATGATTTTCAAGCAAAAAACTCAGTAAACAGGCATAACCTACCTCCCATCCTGGTTCAGGATCTAGTGCAGCTGCCACCATGGAACTTGCCTTTCCCTATGAAAATAGAGGATTGTAAAATATCAATTAAATAGAAAATGGAAAATTTATAAGCTATTTATAATGATTGTCCTCAATGATATTTCAAAAGATATAAGCACAATAATAATCTTCTTCCTTGAGTTTTGAACACTTACTTGCAAAAATACACTTCCATTCATGACCAAAGGGTGATTGTGAAGATCACACTTGGGTGGAAGCCTTAACAAGTCAGGAACCATATCATCCTTCTGAACCTATTTAAGACCCAAAACAGTCAATTCAAAGTAAAATAAACCATGTGAAAACTGAACCCAACAGACCATAAATTCATGAACTACACAAAAATAGATAAAAGAACAAATGAACAATGTACAAAAAGGAAATGTCTAGTCAATATACTGTCATACCAATTGTTAACTTGGCAGTTGGCATGAAAGTTCCTTTTTATAAAGGTGTACCCTGGTCTATTGAATAGAGAGAACTCTGGTAGACTTTGTGGTTCATTTACTTCACTCATTTTACAAAAGAAAACATAAAAAACAATACATTGTGTTTTCAGTAAGTACCATGAATTGTTTCCCTAATTCATTTAGGGCAGAATCAATATCCAGTTTCAGAGTGTTCACACGAACATAACGGGGTTTCAAAGTATCTACATCAGAAATCAAGAGCATACATGAGGTAACCTTCTAACAAAAAGAAAAACAATTGAATTTCAACATCTAGAATCAAATCAATTCTTAAGAAAAAAAATATAAAGTCGAAAAAAAAAATTCATCACATAAGTGAAAAAAGTCACTGAACGCATACCGGGTGTCTGATAAAGATCTATCAAATCTTCAACCTGTTTTACTTTCTTCCTAACTAAAATTCGAGCTAAAGCAGACTGAAGAGCATCCTTACGCCGCACTAGAAATTTCTCTGCATCACCAATGAATGAAATTTCCTAAAAAATAGAGTTCATGTCTCAAGATTACCACAAACATATAACAAACAATGATATGAATGGTGGGTATACTCTATATTACCTGACCAAAAAGAATGTCATATGTAATTATGTAAATCAACTCCTCTTGCCTCTGCAGCACCAACAACAAACAGCATTTTAAAACATTTCCACTAAGAAACTTTCCTCCCATTTATTTACTACTTCCATTTCCATTCAGACAAGCACTCCCTAATCACAAGTTACTAACATAAACTTCCACTGATATTAAAACCAAAGCATAGACTTATTTCCTTACCTTCCATCTGCTATTCAATATGTTGGCAGTCTCCAACACATCCTTGACAATAGAAAGATCTGAGAACAAATGAAACACCAAATTTGATTCAAACATTAGACTCTCTCGCTTGAGTGAGCAAAGAGCTGGATATTAAACAAATACACTAACGCTTGAGCGTTTGGCAAACAAGTGCGAAAGTGGCCTTCTTGTTCTTAACGGAGGGACCATAAACGAGAGATTTGATAGACCCGACGGCTCGTCGGCGAGCATCTCCTTGGAGAACGGAACGGAGCACCTTCGCCGCCTCCCTCCGAGAAAAGTAGGCCGACCGCTCGGCGTTGCTCAATCGAGACTTCTTCGATTTCCCCGCGGCTGCCGATGATGTCTTCGCCGTCGTACGAACCATCCTCACACTTTGCTGAGAGTTAAAGTGAACAGTAATCCAGAAACCTGAAACCACACCCAATTAACGTTCCCCAGGAAACGCACCGTTTTATCTCCATCTTTTTTTCCTTTTTCCCCAAAAATAATCTCACCTTCATTTTTCATTATTTTATTTTTCACTTTGAAGGTGAGAAATTAATTAAAAATATTTATTCAAATGACTTTAAGATCTTTTTCTTGAAACAAATTTCATCATGGAGCTCTTTTTCAAAATACAATTTCTCTATTTTTTAAATTTCCTTTCTCAATTCGATATTTGAATGAACAATCTAATAAAGAGTCAGAAGAATAACATTAATGTAATTTCAATATTTACAAATTGCTCATGTTTCATTTTGTCATTGAAATCATGATACATACATAGAAAAAAAGATAAATTACATTCATTTTCAATACCTAAATTATTAAAAATAAAATATCATTTATAAAATGATATCTTATTTCGTCAGTCATGATATTTACTTAAATTTTATAGTGAATGAAAAACGCTTACCCACTTTTACATTACCTAATTGACTAATAAAAGAGGTTTCTTTGTTAAAATCATTATCTTTATCTTATCTCTAACGGCACTTCAAATGTTTCTACGCTATACAACAAATTCAGAAAAGTGAGGGGCCAATTTGATGGAAATGGAAGCTACTTATGAACTTCGTGGTCAAAGACTTGTACCATTTTCCCGCTTCATAACCTAATGCAGTAAACAAAACCCCTCTTACATTCTTTGATTGGTCATCTTGGGATCTTAATTTCTTATTGCTTTTCACATGAAGCACCAACACTTCCTTTGTCCTCGTTATCCGTACTATAATCGTATTGGATACTGATTTTTTTTTATATTTTGGTTGCATAATAAAAAGTAATCATTTTCATCCCTTATCTCACTCCACTCGTATATTATGTGACTCGAATTCAAAATCTCTTATTTTCAATGAAAAGAGAGGACTAACAAGTTATTTAGGTTGTTAATATCGGATACTAATTATTAACACATGAATTAGTTCTAATTCTTTGTTTATTTATTTATTTATTATCAAAATATTTATATGTTAGTTTTTTTGTATTTCGTGATTGATCTAATGTTAAGAAATTTTAATGTTATATCTCTATATTAACTTAATACATTTAAAAAAATTAATTTTCTTAAAAATTAAATTTAAGATTTAAATTTTAGACAAAACTTGAAAAATAACTCTTAACTGCTAGTAAATTTAGTCGTGCACTTAGTTCTATTTCATTGAGCAAATCACCTCGGTGTTAATTATGGTCCCAGCTATAAGTTAGGAGACTACTTGAATCGCATATAGAATTTATATGATGTTAGCTCTACGTATTATAAATAAAGTATGTAATTTGGTTCATTATTTATAAAAATTAGTGTTTATTTATCTTATTTCATAAAGATTAAGAGAAATATTACTTCAAAATTACATAATTTTAATAAAATATTATTAATACGTATTATAAATAAAGTATGTAATTTGGTTCATTATTTATAAAAATTAGTGGTTCTCTATCTTATTTCATAAAGATTAAGAGAAATATTACTTCAAAATTACATAAT